GTAAACGTACTTCGATATTTGACATCAATAAGCCGAAGCGGAACTGCTATAACATTTCCAAACTCGTAACCAAAGGCTACGTTTTGGTCAGCACTGAGAAACGGGTAGGTATACTTCTTAGTATTGAGTATCCACTCGGGGGGTGGCCAGGGGATTCATTTCAGAAGGCCGTTTCTTGGAACATTGACAGATATTTTTCCGATTGGCTTTTTCCTYGAAGCGTGTTAATAATTGAAAGTGTTTATTTCGTTCCTYCTTAYAAGATCAAGGAATTGAACATAACAAAACAGCCACGACAAAAATCAAAATTATCCTCTCCTATCCCCAGTGGATCGCCACTTGTGCTTATATATGACCAACCTCGTACCCAGAGCCCACGTTCCTCTTGGTCAGTTTGGAGGAACGCGGTGTCGGCACTTGGTCAACGAGATTGATGTCACCTTTTGTGAAATTTTTGGAAATCGTTTGTTACAGCTTTYACGCGAAACTAGTGATTGGTCTTGTAGCTTTCGGTTTGAAGGAGACGATAGGGATTTTCACCGGTTGTTTGTCCAGCACAAAATAAAGAAACTTGAGTGAAAAGCACTTGTGGTCAATATTTACTGCGTTCAGCGAACCTCGACAATATGTTACACATAATATGATGAACAATAAAGCAAGTTTTAACAAATTCACGTCTGATGATAATCATTGTCTGCATGATCTTCTACCCGACCAGAGAAACCGCAAACTGCGTAATCGAGAACATAATTTACGATTTTGGGCGACTTAGAAAATTTAGAGTATAACTAAAATATTGTCAAACATTTCTCTTAAATACGAGATCGAAATGAATATAATATAATCAAACTCCTCATGATGCATGACGTTTATTCATTATTTGCATATCGTAGCGGCAGTTACACTGAGGCGAATCCAGCTGGCAATCACGCAGATCAAATGATCAAGCGAAATCTAGAAAAACACTTTGAAATTTCTCTCTGTATGAAGAGCCCCAAAAATAAATGTAGAATATGATATCAAAACCCCCATGAATCCGAAATCCGAAGGCGACCGAGGGAAAAATCCGGATCTAATTGATTATCCACAATGAATCCGCATGATCCTGATGCAGCACTGGTACTTTCATATTACTAATGTGGCTACAAATACAAGCTGAGTTCTACAAGAAATTCCTTCCCGGCTACTTCACTCCCATAAGGAGTTACAAAGTTGCAACCTTGAAAAAAGATATTGAGAAGCTTTCTAAAACAGTAAACGAAAAGGCTGAAGATCTTAATCGATGGGAAGACCTCAAATCCTTAATAGCTAGTCGCTAACAAACCTAGACTTTTTTTCGTATTTTATTCAAACCTAGGCTTGGGACCCTCGTTCCATGATCGAAATGGAATTTAGAAGTKGATTTTTTCAGAGGGAAAAAACTTGAGTTTCCGGGCTTCGAAGCACAGGAGAGAAGCAACTTGAAAATCGAATCACATTGTCACAAATCAGCTAATTCCGGGATCGAATCGTTGACTATAAAGCTTGAGATTAATGTTGTTATTTGTGAACAACTTTCTTGATTACTTTTCTTGGAAATGACAAAGTGACTATAAAAATAGGGAACCATGGGTCACAGTGCTATTGTATGCTGTAGTGAAGGACTACTTTTTTATTTTTTATTTATTTTATTTATTAGCTTTTCCCCATGATGGTCGTCATCAGCGTCTTCAGTGGGTCTTTTACGTTCGCCTTATACAGGGTCGTATAGTAAAGACAGACGGGGCCTACGGTTTTAAGTCCTTGTCTATAACTAAGTGCTTTGAAAATTGTCTTTAAATCTGCCCTGATATTAGTTCAAGGTTTTTTTCTGTTTATTTTCAGTGCTACATATAATGAGTTGAATATTCTTAGAACCACGCAGTTCGCAGATACAAATTTACACTTCTTAATGAACTAATGTTCATGACTAGAAGAAATCTGGTTGGGGAATACACCACTTTCCTAATACTCGGATCGTGCTGACCTTTCAATCAGCTGGCGCCATGGAAGGTACGCGGTGATAAGCCCATGAGTAAATGGACAGTGGAGGCAAGACCAGGCTAGCTACTCCACGATCGTAAACTTGACAGGAAATGCCGCTCGAACATATCACACCTACTTTGCCACAACTGGATTTACAAGAATAACTCAAAGTTCAAGGACTTTGATAGATTTATTTTTCACTTCAAGACCGGAACTTTATATTTTGGGAGTTATTCCAATCGGGTTTTCTGATGGTTGTAAATCCGTGCTCAAGTACATTAATATGGAAATTCGTCTCAATATATTTTTGCTTACTTACTTATTGAAGCAAGAAWTTATAAAAATTACGACCCATCATAATTTTAAAATGATTTGAACAATGACCTGATTTATTCTTAACCGTTGTTGATAAGCACGCTCCCGTGTGCAGAGTTCGTGGATATTCCGTGCCATGGCTCACTCGTGACTTGAAATGCTTGCAATTCATCCTTATAACTGAAATATAGGGTTTTGTACACKCTTAGGTTATTTCACTTCAGAACACTTGTCGTAAATTACACTGCAAAATGTAAAGGCCGATTCTCGCCTACAACCATCGTATAAAACAAGCTCACGTCTGTCGTAGGCGAGTTGTAGGCCTGATTTACACGCTACGACTTGAGCTTGTAGGATGGCGCGAGCGTGTTGTATGCGATAGYTGTAGGCGAAAATCATACCGTATAAACCGGTCTTAACACATTATGGAATTTTCGTCATCTCATTTGCATATTGATATTTCAAATGTTTATATCTCTGAAAAGAGAAGACCCCATACAAAAATACTGCAACCACACTACTACACTGTTCACATGTAAGTGATTTTGAAAATATAATTTTTTACTTGACATACACTTTAAAGTTTACAAATTACGTAGTTATTTGCTCCCCCTACTGCGAGCTTGCATTTTTCCCATAACTCATATTATTTGTGGTAACTGTTTCACGGTCTGAAGTAACATCAAATACCCGGAACATTGATGGCATAAACACGACGCGGACAATGTCCCGCTAAGGTCACGGCACCGTCAGGCCAATCACATTGCACGATAAAAAATCAGCCAAATCAGCCAGGGTAAACTTCCCTGAGAAAGGGATGACGCAAGTTATTTTGTTCGCTATTCAACATCTTGTCAAGACGAAGTTAAGATCTGACTCATAAGTCTGGTAAGTTATATTTGATTTATTTGAGGACTTTATATCGTCAGCCACTTCCTTAGCTGATTTACTACAGAACGGTTATTATTTGCTTCAAAATGTTTATTATGCATTGAATAGGTACAAACATACGATTATCTAATAT